TTTTTTTTTAATGACAGAATACAAGATCGATTTTTATTAGTGCCCTTATTTGGCAAAAATAAAAATTAGCATCCCTATGGCAGTTCCCATAAAATGCAAAACTCCAGGATATGGTGACTTACAATTCAGCTTCATCTGGGAATCAGAGTTTTCACTCATCATGAATAAAACTAGACATCTTACTGAGTTGGCTCCAGTGTTTGCACACTGGGCATTGTTGTGGCATCTTTTCACCAGGAACAAACAGCCAGTTCCTGAAAGAGGAAATGATCGTCCCTCTTGTAGAAAGACTAGAACGTCCAAGAGCTGTAGTGATAGCTGTCCCTTCCTCGGGATGACACTGTCCTCGTCACAGAAGAGTGAGCAGCTCCTCAGTGAAAGGCCTAGTGAGCCTCCGCACAGGAGGAAGCGGCTGAGTGGCAGATGGGTGGAAGACCCTCCAAGAAGACCCTTCCTTCTAACAAGTTGTGACGTGAACCACTCGCTCTGTTGAAGGAGCAGCCATTACTGGCGCCTTGCAGACTTCTGTGTGAATGCAACTGTGTTTGGGGACAATCAAAGCCACTGGACCTGAGACCAGTGGCTTTATGAGCAGGGACAAGACAGAGGTGCAGAGCCATCGCCTCATGGATAAACATACTAGCTGATTGCAGCACAAGGGTAGTCCTGCGGATGCAAGTTGGCCCAAGGGAGTTTCCCCAGGAGGATCCTAAGCCACCAGAGGGCAGTGTTGCAGACTGGGAGTGGGGCAGTCCTGGAAGCTCACAGGCTGGCTGTCCTCCCTAGCTCCAAAGTTTGCAAGGGATGCAACAGAATGCAAAATGAGGGAACTGCATACTTCTGTGGTTTGCCACTGACATAATATTAATACTTCTTTTCTTTTCTAAAATGCCATCTTGCATTTTATGGCAACCGTCATCCAAGTTTCGAGATACAGCTGTAAAAGGAAAGAAGTCAAACCCCATAAAAGTCCTGTTGCACTGGATGGCCTATAGAACTTGAAAATGTAACTCTCATTAGAAAGGGTAAGGTTAAATGTCAAGTGAACAGAGTGGAATTGGGAACTGAGACACCTCTGTCCTAGGCTTAACCCTCCTACCAAACCGACCCTTATGGGAAGGCTTGGAATAAACAGGAACAGTTGGGAGTGGAAGGGCACAGGCTCCAGCATGAGCAACAATACCGGTAGGAAGGAGCAGGTGCAGAGAGTGAGAAAGGACAATTTGGGACCTGTGGAGCTAAACTGGGAATGTACATTGGAGGCAGACTCTCTGGAGGGCCCTGTGTGCAGACCACAGTGTGTTTTTTTTTTATAGATTGCACTCACAGTTTTGGGACAGGAAATGCCAGGATAAAAATAAAAGGGGTAATTGGGCACCTGGGTGGCTG